TGTATTCCAGATTGTTAAAATACATTTGAATTAGGAGATTAGCATTCAGGTATTTAGATAGAGCATCCAAAAGAATGGAGAAAAATGATCTTCTTTCTGTAGTCTTGTACCTGAGCACTACTTGAAATACCACTCAGGAGTGCAGTTTATGGGTTCTTCCTTCCAAATAGTCTTCAGACGCTGGGTCCAGGCAGTCAGCATCTCCTTCCTCTTCTCCTCAGAGACAAACTCTGGAGCATAACAGATGTGAGGTTCAAGGACTTTGACACCACAGAAGTGCATGATTCCATGCTGGATGCAAAACAAAGAAGGAAATGCTTCAGGAAATAGTTACTCTTTCAACTGAAGAATATGCATGATTCAAATCTGAACCTGTTTCTCTGACCCGGGATCAGGCAGGTTCTCTAAATCTGTGCATTTATCAGAGAAGGGAAATAAACTGCTTTTACACCAATAGAACTCTCCTCTCTGGCTGCTGTACTCTGTTAACTTTGCAAGGATCAGAGATGGTCTAAAGTTCATTGTCCTGTTCGAACTTCCTCAGATTGTTCCTGTACTGCAGTGCCTTTCACATCTACTTCCAAATTGGGTTTGGGGATTTTTTTTTCAACCTTTCCCCTCTGAAAGAAGACTAGTGCCTGTGGAATCAACTCCACTTGCCATTTTCCCTCTGTGTATTTCTGAATTCAGTGTCGTGCTTCACATTTTTGTCTCCTTTATTTGCGAGCCCTGGAGCTGGACAGCTCCTCAGGGGCAGGTATCTGGTAATTGCAGTGGGTAGGAGATCATGTGTGATTCCCTTCCTTCCCTGCATCCTACATTGGGTAACCATGGGGAAACATCCCACACCCTAGAGATAAAGGAAATCCTGTAATACCAGAGAAACTGAGAAGGCTGAAGGCATAAGCTGCCTCCAAATTGTAATCTGGAGGAAGAGGCACAAAACAACTTTAAACCTCTCTGGACTTTTAAGGTAGTCTGAGGATTTTAGAGCCCAGTTTATAACCTGCAGATGCTTGGAGAAGGCAACTTAATAAATTATTTCTTACTATACTTCCTATAAAATAAACAGTATAAGAATTGTTAAAAATAATTTGAACAATATTGAAATATACAACAACCAAATATTTATACATTATACCTGCATGGGCCACAGAACATAGCGAATATCACCACCGATATTTCCATTTGAATACATTTCTTTGGTTCCTCCAGTGGTGAAAGAAAACAGGGATAATTTGTCCTAGAATTAGAAGGTGATGCTTGAATTAGACACATTTAAAGAAGAGTGGCTGAACAGTTCAAGAGATATTCAGGGGAACCTGGGCAGCACAGATTTCTAGAAGAGGGGGTGTCCTCTTCTTTCCCAGACCTTACAAGAATTAGCAGTTTTGAGGCAAAGATTGGTGACATACATCTAGACAGTTGACTGTGTGTCCAGGCTTTGAGAAGAGACAGTTTAAAAGAAAAGGAATTACATGTCTGACAGCCTTGTGTGAAGCAGGGCTGATGCATTATTTGAAGTCAGTGTAAAGAGAGCTTAAAAAAACTGCAATGGAAAAGAAGGACCAATGCCCAGAAGAACACTGTGCAAACCTTGAACTTAATAATCTCAAAAACATACCTGGAGCAAACCGCCATCATAAGACTTTGACAAATCATAAGCAAAGCCTTGGACCAACACTCTGTCCATCCAGCCCTTCAGGATCGCAGGCATGCTGAACCAAAACAAGGGAAACTAGGCAAAGAGTAAATGACCTGGTTAGCACAGAGAATCTGGACCACCCTTAG